AGGTTAGTTGTGCCAAGGGTACGCCAAGACAATATAAAGAAAAACAGATCTTCTTCCAAGCGATGCCACCACCAATCCCAGTTCCTCTGCCTCCCTTTTAGTAATGCTGTTTCTTCAGTGGTAGAAGTGGCAGGACAGCCCTGCTGAGGCAACCACAGGAAACTCCGGAGTAAAGGAAGGAGACAGAGGAGAAAATGGGATGGGAAGAGGAAGGTGCTTCTAGACTGGGAAGCAACGGCCCTTTAGCTCCACCCTGGCAGGAGAGGGTGTGGGCAGCAGCATGGAGCTGCTTGACAAATGTACCCACAGGCTTCTGGCTCCTGTCCTTCTTCACATGTGCCCCATTAGCATCCTGCCCACCAGGAGGAGGAAACAGCAAGATGCCATTTGAGGAAGAAATTAATCCAGCATCTAAGATTCTTTTGAAAATAGCAACTCTGCATGGTATTTTCATCTCCTTTTTTTTATCAGATTTATGTGGCTGGACCATGGAGCTGTGGCATTCGCAGGGTTCTCAATAGCAGAGGACAACACTCTTGTAATGTTAGAAATCTGCCAGTAGGCCAAGGCTGAAATGCATTTCAGGAACCTTTAGGTTGGAAGAGATCCTAAGAAGTCATTGCACACAGCCTCTGCCTCTGTTTGGGGCCACAATCAATTAACCACAGAAAGTCTGTGGCTTGCTTTTTTCCTTGAAATCTCTTGGTTGCCATGCCTCTACTGCATAATCTAGGATTTCACACCTCTTCTAATCAGGAATTTAGGATTTCACACCTCTTCTAATCAGGAATTTAGGATTTCACACCTCTTCTAATCAGGAAGTTATCTATCTAATCTATCTATCTAATCTATCTTATCTATCTAATCTATCTATCTAATCTTTCTATCTACCTATCTATCTATCTAAAAAGATGACTGGTAAGGGAATCTTAACCCTTGACTTGGTGTTGTCAGCACCACTCTCTCCCAAGTGAGATAACAGGCCATCCCCATACAGGGATCCGAACCTGTGGCCTTGGTGTTATCAGCACCACACTCTCCCCAGTGAGCCATGGGCCGGCCCCTAGGAAGTTATTTTTAATATTGTCTTAGTCTGTTTGGACTCCCATAACAAAATACCATAGACTGGGTGACTTATAAACAACAGAAATTCATTTCTCCTGGTTCTGGAGTCTGGAAAGTCTAAGATCAAGACACCAGCAGGTACTTCCTGGTTCACAGACAGTTGTCTCCTTACTATAACCTCATGTGGTGGAAAAGATGAGGGGTCTCTTTTATAAGGCACTAATCATCCCATTTATGAGGGTTCTGCTCTCATGACCTAATCACCTCCCAAAAGCCCCACCTCTAATACCATTACCTTGGGGGTCAGACTTCAATATATAAATTGGCAGAGGTGGGGGGGCAGAGGGGACAAACATTCAGACCACAGCAAATACTTAGCCCAAATATCTCTAGTTAGATCCTTTTTGGTCACTCTCACAGCAGAAATATAGCAGCTAACATTTACTGAGTGATTAACATGTCCCAAACAATCCTCTTATTTAATCCTCACAAAAGCCCTCTGGGGAAGACACTATTATCACTCCTATTTTTTGAGCAGTTACATAACTTGCCCAAGATAATTCTTGGTTATGGTGCAGATTCTATGCAGGAGCCATCAGACCACTGTGCTTCCCAAGCATAGGAGGAACAGAACATTATGGAATTTCCTCTAGTCTTGGCTTGCATTTCTTTATCATGGTTCTGAATGAAAACTGGCTGGTGTCCTAATTGTATGTGTGTGTCCCATGCTAGAAGCTTAGCTCTAAGTCCCAGCCATACTGAGCAGTGGTCGCCCTAACTTCTGGGCCTTTGCTTATATTTGTCACTTGGCTAACAATAATCAAATTTTAGCCTAGAGCACAAAAAACAAAAACAAAAACCCAAAACTACATGGTCTCACTTATATGTGGTATCTAAGAAAATCGAACTCAGAGAAACAGAGCAGAATGGTGGTTAGCAGGGGTGGGGCAAGGGGTGGGATTGGGGAAATGGTCAAAGGATACAAACTTTCAGTTAAACAAGAGAAATAGATTTAAAAAAATAGACAGGAGAAATAAATTCAGTAGATTATGCAACATGGTGACTATAGTTAATAACAATGTTTTGTATATTTGAAAATTGCTCAGAGTAGATTTTATATGTTCTCACCTTAGAAAAAATAAGTATGAAGTAATGCATACATTAATTAGTTTAACTTATCAATTCCATAATGTGTGCATATATATATATAAACATCATGTTGTGTACCATAAATATATACAATTTTTATTTGTCAATTATATGTTCTCACCTTAGAAAAAATAAGTATGAAGTAATGCATACATTAGTTAGTTTAACTTATCAATTCCATAATGTGTGCATATATATATATATAAACATCATGTTGTGTACCATAAATATATACAATTTTTATTTGTCAATTAGTGGCTCGGGAGAGTGTGGTGCTGATAACACCAAGGCCATGGGTTCGGATCCCATATAGGGATGGCCGGTTGGCTCACTGGCTAAGCGGCGTGCTGACAACACCAAGCCAAGGGTTGAGATCCCCTTACCAGTCATCCTTTAAAAAGAATAATAATAATAAATAAATAAAAATAAAATAATAAAATAAAAAATCCCTCTAAACTTCAATTCAGGGCTGCTCCCTTCCAAGACTTTTCTTGGAGGGACAGTCACTGGCCGGCCAATAAAACTCCCCTTTTAAATTCTCAATTGGGTGTTCTGGTTCCTTTTCCGTGCGGCAGCCTCACAACAATCTGTATTCAACAGGGACAAGCCAAGTAGAGCTTGACTGTTATTTTTCTCAGTTTCATGTTGACAAATAGAGACTACTCAGCAATTCTGCTCTACTAGGAAACTTTGGATCACAGGGAGAGAAACAAAGGAACAATAGCAATCATGCCTCCAACTGCTTCTTTCCTTCTCCAACCAAGCCAGAAAGAAAGTAGGCCAAGTGTTAGGGGTGTGAAGCCATCCAGGGCTTATCTGGGAGGGGTGACATCTGCCACTGCTCCAGCCCGCAGGTGAGGGCCAGCAATTAAGACACCTGGGGCGATCTCCAGCACACAGGACCACCCCTCTGCTGTGGCTCCTAGAGCCCAGCCTCTTTGGTCTCATCACCCTTGAGGCCTCATTCCACTGAGGCTCCTACCAGGCAGCCCAGCCACCACGTGCTAGAGGTGCACTGGGTTAGTCACTCTGCCGAGTACTCCAAGAGTCCAAAAGCACGCTTTCTACCAGCCTCTCCTGCGCAACTCGTCAAGGTAGCTTCCCACGCATTGCCTCTTTTACTTCCTACGTGTCACTGTTGGCTTGTCTGCTTTCCCCAAACCCTGACGAAGACTCAAGAGTAGCAATTTGTCTTGGTCATGTCTGTATTTCCAACGCCTGTCTGGCTCAGCAAATCCATGCTTAAAACCAACCATCATTGACACTTTGCACTTATATAGCAGTTCATTTCATGGGACCCTCATCATTGCTCCATTTTACAGGTAAAGAAACAGGCTTATGAAAAATAAGAAGTCAGATTCCTATACTGGCCACCTGCAAACAAAACACAAAACAGGCTCAGGATGCCTTGTCCCATGTTATGGGGTGAATGTCAGCTCAAGGAAGCAGAGACTTCTGGCTGTTTGTTTACCATTTAGCAAGGGTTTAGGGCAGTGCCTCATCTATGATGTGTTCAACAAACATGTGGCAAGTGGATGGAGCTAGGCTCTGAATCCAGGCCTCCTGGTTCTCAGGCCAGGGGATGCAGAGCGAGAGCCACCCCTCTCTGCCTCATGCTTTCCTCCTGCTACCACTCAAGAGCCCAGCATCCTGCCTACCCTGAGAGAACTTCCCAAGCAAGGCACAACACCTGCAGGCCTACCTTGATGAAGTAGCAAATGCCAGACCCTCTCTGGCAGTGTGACATGCTCATCCTGTGTGCTCCTCATTCACATGCAGGCCCATGCCCCTGCTGCTGCTGCAGCAACCTTCCAGATAAGCCCTGACAGCTCCCTAACTGTTCATCCACCTCTGACACTTTGAAGTCTCTTCTGGCCTTGAGATTCTATGAATCTATTGTGCTGATCACACCTTGAACCTGAGCCCCCTCAGCTTTTGTACTCAACTGCAATCATATCATTTTGCCTCTGCTGATAGACTGTTTTTTACTTGATCTCTGGCTGCTCCATGTGAGTCTGTTTTGTCTTCCTGCCTAGATAATAAACTCAAGGCCAAGGACTCACTGACCAAATAACAGAGGCAAAGTCATGCGGTCTGGGCTTGCATCATCTGATTCTTATTAAAACCCTCCCACTTCCAGGCATCAATTCCCCATCCTTGACAACAACAAGTTTGTCAACAGTGTTGACTCACGTGGGGAGGTGTGACTTCAGTGCTGCAGAGAGAAGGAAGTGACATCAAAAACTCTATTGATGGGCCGGCCCGTGGCTCACTCGGTAGAGTGTGGTGCTGATAACACCAAGGCCACAGGTTCGGAACCCATATAGGGATGGCCGGTTCCCTCACTGGCTGGGCGTGGTGCTGACAACACCCAGTCAAGGGTTAAGATCCCCTTACCGGTCATCTTTTAAAAAAAAAACAAAAAAACAAAAAACTCTATTGATTATTTCCTGAGAAGTTCTGCATTTGGTTTTTTGGGGGAATTCCTCAAAGGAGAGTTGAGTGGTGAGGGGAGGAAGAGAAGGTGGGGTGGGGACACATGGCAACAGAACAGGAAGGAGTGCAAGCAGGGAGAGGCACAGATGCAGGACAAGAAAGGCAGCAGAGGTGGGGAGCACAGGGATTTGGAGGAAGCCCTCGGCACCCTTCTAGAGCAGCTCTCACACATCAGCCGAGGTAAGGCCACCACCCTGAGACTTTCTACCCTTCTCAAGACCTGCACACCAGTTCGGCCCGCCCACTCTCCCCCATCACCCACCTCCCCAGGCCACGCTCTCAGTCCACACTGAATGAGCCCAGTACTTTATTCACATACTAGGAGGAAGCAAGTACAAAATACATTTTTAAAAATTCAGTTGGAGATAAAAATCCCACCTCCCCAAATCCTATCCCTCTGTGCTCTTCTCCCCATGGTGACTCAGCTTGGCTGGCCCTCCTGCAAGAGAGTGAGCAGGGGGTCATCAGCCCTGAGGGCGAAGGTGAGCGTGCGCTGCTGGTAGTATGTGGCATCATACTCCAGGTTCTCGATCACCTCAGCTAGCAGGTGAGCCCGCTCCACCCCTGAGCCAGGGGCCTCAAAGCCCAGGGCAGTGAAGTGCACGTGCAGGTGGTAGTAGGAGGGCAGATAGTGCAGGTACACACGGAGGCGGTCTCCCTTCACCTGGTAGCGCTGCAGGATGGCTTCCTGATGAGAAAGGGAAGTGGTAGGAAAGAGGTCATCATGCTGTCCGCAAGCTGGTGCCACACCCCTATGTAGACCCCGCACCCGTCTTTACCCCAGTCTAGCCTGGAACAGCTAATAAAAACCCAAGTAGCTCTCTGCCCACTGTTTGATTCAGATCAGAAAATCACATGCAGGTGACAGCAGCCAAGCCCAGATTCCTTCCTCCAAAGGAAGCAGATAGGGTTCTCCAACCCAAACTGGATACACACTGGCTTCCTCAAACAATTGCTGCTGGAAATCTAGGAAGTACCAGTGCTTGAGGACAGGCCCCAGATTCTCAAGATTATGGGAACCTCCCCTGGATGAGTTATAAGCACTTAATAAATCATGAAGCAGGTAAGAGGAAGCTTCATTCTCTCTCTTAGCATAGAACAGGGTGGAGCTTAGAGACCATGGAGATGGAGCCATGCTAGGAACTCGGTGAAAAAGAAAGGGTGTCGGGGTTGTATGGGAAGGGCTGCTCCCAGACAAGCCCAGGGAAGTCTGCAGTGGACCCCCTGCAGAAGAGTAAAGCACTGACTTGGGCCCTCGCTCCCTTCACCCACCTCCACCTTTGCTCAGAGGTGGGTCTTTTTCTACCAACCTCCACCTTCAGGAGGCTCCAGGTCTTGGAATTGAGGAGACTCTGATCTCTATTGTGGGTAAATCCCTGGGGAGGTCAGAGGTGAAGAAAAGACTATACCCCGAGGTGAGCTCAGAATACATCCTGGAATTGTATGCTGCCTTTGCAGCTCACGCCTGGGAGGGTGCAGCAGGGTGGGACCGGGGCCAAGGCACCCAGAGGGCTTCCTGGGATAAGCACAGCTGGCCTGCCAGGGAGAGGCTGCCCAAGCTACCAAGGCAGGTCAAAGTGTTGGCCGAGTATCACCCCGAGAGGCCACCCTCTCTACTGTCTCTAGTATCCAGAGGCTGCTTGAGGACAGAAACAAGTCATTCCAAAAATGAGAAAAATTTCACTCAATTCAATAAGTATCCCAGATAGAATAACAGGTGCTACAGAATTCAGTCTGCCCTCAATCTAGACAAGGAAGCACACACACGCCAGTCATGTGCCCAAGAAACTTGTCTGGCATGTTGTAGTGGTCACAAACAAGACAGGTGATCTTGGGGTGAGAGGGGCTGGGACTTGAGGACAAGAGTCTATGGAGTGGAGGGTGGATGGGCATCTCAATGGGACCTACAGAGAAAGGCGGGGGAAGGCAAGTGTACGGGTGAGGAAAGGTGGCTGAAAGTAAAACTGGAGGGTCAGGCAGGACCAGGGATCAAAGGCCTTGTGAATCAACCTAAAGAGCCTTAAGAGGGTTCCTGAGACTGACATCCAGAGAGAAGCCCTTTTCCAAGATGGACTGTGGGAAGTGTGAGGAAAGTGGCCGGGAACACAGTGGAATCTGAGTATAATTTCTCTGTGCTTCAACATGGTTCAGCGAAACAACTCACCTGCCCCAGGCAGAGGATGTTCCTGAGCAGCGGCAGGTGCTCTGGAGTAAGGTCCCGAAGTGACCTGATGCCCCGGCGATGGCAGATGGCAATCAAATACAGGTCATCGAGCTGCATGGAGACGGGTAAGAAACCAGAGGGCAGCTCCAGGCTCAGCAGGGGAGAGAGCCAGGGAGGCTACCAATCCTGGAATTCCCATGTATGCCAGGAAGCACCCACCTCCAAGGCCCGTGGTGCCAGGCACAGCCAACCCAAGAGACCCACAGCCATTGATCCCCAGGCAATATGGGCATCCATGTCCCCAGGGCGAGTGGGACGGTCTAAGGAATAGGACTTCTGTGTGGTCCTGCTAAAGAACATCATATAGGAGTATCTATGTATTCACTCCACAGAGCGGTCAGGAGCTGGGGGTGGGGGGTGTCAAGAAAGAGTCAAGGACAATGCCTTCCCTCCAAGAGTTTACAGTCTAATCGCATATACAAGGGTACTTCAAAAAGTTCATGCAAAGATTTGTATTATCTTTTTTTTTTTTCCTTTTTGTCTTTTTTCGTGACCGGTTACGGGATCGCAACCCACGGTGTCACGCCCGTACCGTGACCGGCAACGGGATCGCAACCCTCGGTGTCGTGCCCGCACCGCGCTCAACCAGTGAGCGGACTGGTCTCTATATGGGATCCGAACCCTCGGCAGGAGCGCCGCTGCACTCCCAAGCGCCGCACTCTACCGAGTGCGCCACCGGGCCGGCCCTGTGTTATCTTTTTATTTTATTTTTCCATGAACTTTTTGAGGTACCCTTGTATGTAAGTAACTGTGTTATAAGACATAAAGTGACTGAAGTACAGGAGAGGCCACAGAGAACTGGAAAGGGACACCTGTGAGTAAAAATGGTTCCTCTAAAACCTGCTCCTCAGAAAGTGAGCAGCAGAGGCACTTGGAGGCCAGGGAAGAGGTAGCTGAGAGGCTCGAGCAGAAGTCTGGACTACTAGAAACCTATTCTGCAGCTCAGGCCATGTAGAGGCTCCTTGGGTTGGTTGCCATGGTTGCTGCCGGCCAATGCTTCAGAAAGTGGGCCTACCCGGATCTGCTGGAGTTGAGGGTGGCAGAGAGATTGTAAACACTCCACCCTCAGGGCTCTAGGTGCTGCTGGAAGCAAAGGTGGTAGCATGAGGCACTGGCTGGCTAAGGAATGGCCCATGTAGTCACAAACACAAACATCAACCCACCTCACTTCTTGGGTGGGAGGAAAGCCAGAAAGGGCTTCAAGCTGACCCATTAAAACAAAAGCATTTGTGTACAACAGGTATTCACTCCATCACCATGGAGAGCTAAGGCCACACCTTGTTGGTTAATTATAATCTGCTTAGGGAGGAAGGCTAACGTGAGAAAGAAGGGCAGGTCAAAGGAGTCCAGCAACTGGAGCAGGGAGGTCACAGACCAGATCTTTACCTGCTGCTGATTCCACTTGAGGTCAGGGATGAGGACGAAGCCATCAGAAGGATCTGGGTTCTCAAAAATAATCCGGTCAGCTTCAGCCTTCTTGTCAAGAATGTTATACACCCACTGGAAGGAGGGAAGGAGGTTGGTCACAAATCCATGCACCATCCCTTGGGTGACTCCCCAAACTGGGCTAGGTAAGCTCTCTGGGGTCTCTAGGAAGGACAACCAAGCCATTAAGGCCGCAAAGCTCAGGGGATCTACACTCAGGCTGCCCTGTTCCCAAGAGTCTGATCTTGGGCATCCAGAAGAGATCTCTCCCTCTCCCACCACAGCTGACACCCACCCACTGCAGTCAGCACAAGGTGCTCTGCAGCTTGGACTGGGCAGTCTCTGCAGTCTCTCCTGTTCAGCATGGAGCTCACACTCTGTTATGGGGTCAGTCTCTACCCCACAGCAGTGAGCCCCTCCACTGCCCACAGGCCATGGGGGCAGAGCTGTCTCCATGGACCCCATTTCACTTCATTCACCATTTAATTTGACCATGGGGCAGGCAGAGTCAGGTTCAGGGCTGAGGGCACAGAGGTTTCCTTCTGTAAAGGGAGCCAGCTACTCGCCAAGGCAGTGAAAGCCTTTGGTTCTATAAGTTAACATGTGTGGGTCCCCACCTGCTGGGATTCTCTTCAGTGGTGGCTCAGCACCTCTGTACACCTGTAGCCCTCGTAGACAGCAGTGTGTGAGCAGCCTCCACTGAAACTGGCCCCACATGACAGAGCCGAATCCAAAGCCATAGGGAGATGGCGATCTCACTGAGACCTTCCATGGCAATCCTGGGCTTCTGGGCCACCCTTTCATCAGCTGCTGTTGACAGGCTTCAGAGGACCCTTCCACAGGCTCTGTGTGGACCCCAAGGATGTCACTTTACAGTTACGGTCCATCCTGGCCAGCCTTTCTGAGGAAGCCAGATAGCAGAAAGGTAAGGCTAAGACCCCTGTGCTCACAGAGCTCAGACACAGCCACCCCTGGCTCCTCTCTCCTTCGCCTAGCTCTAAGAGCCCTCTGCAAATGTGAATCCCCTCCAGGACTGTGAACTCTCTGCCCTACACCTGAGAGAGAAACCTGCTGGAAAACCAGAGAGGGGAGTGGCTGCTGCCCCTTCCTCTAGCATTCAAAAGGGTCTCCAAGTTCATTGACAGAGGAAGGGGAGCAGGATCAGGGAGGCCAGGGAACCGACAGCCAGACCATCACAGTCCTCTTCTCACTCCCAGAAGTACTGGCAAAGGCAGTGTCACCGAAGGCAAGGGGGACTGGCTTAGGGTCTGCATACCTCATAGCCTGAACCTGGAGGGCTGAGCATAGCACCCTGCATCCTCGGCTCTCGGCTGGGGTGGAAGTGGAGGAAGCAGAGGGCATCTTCCTGGAAACACCTGGGCCTCTAGGTCTCCTGCAACTACCCAAGGGAGGCGTTTCAGCTCATAGGGCTCCAGACCCACTGACAAGACCTACAGGCTGGTCACCTCCACCACAAAAGAGGGGCCCTTCCCAAGAAGCCTGGTGGTGCACTTCCTGGGAGAGGTCTGGAAGACACCCGGCAGTTGCTTCCTCAATTTCCACAACCTAGGAGGGAGGGGCACTTAGTCACATTTTCCAGACAAGGAAGTCGGGGCTCAGAAGTTAAGGACAATGTCACACTGCCCCTAGACAGCAGAATGAGACCCCAAACGCTGTGCCGAGGCTTACGCCTGATAGGATGACTCACAAGTGCATGCTTTTAGCTGGGTGATCTCAAACATGTCAGATCTAGGAAGCCCACTGTATTTTTTACTGGGCATTCTTACCGGAAAGTCGTAAGTATATCAAAATTGAGAAGCCAAATAGTGTCACTAGCTAAGAGCAAAGACACTGGGGACAGACTGCCTGGCTTGAGTCCCGTCTCCAAAAGGGCTGCTGTGAAGATTAAATGAGGTGATGCACGTAAAATGCTGGGAACAGTTCCTGACTCCTAGTAACTGCTCAACTAATCCCAGGAACTCCCTGTCTTCCACATAAACCCACGCCTCTGTCCACGTCCCATGTCCTGTTTAATGAATGTTCCTGCTATCCACTCATCACCCAAGCTCCTCCCTCACCTCTCCGTATCAGCCAGTTGCTAAGCCTTATGAAGACCCACCTGTGAGATCATTTCTGAATCCTCCCCCATGGCCCCTACCTTGCTTCAGACCAGCACTGGTTTTTAGTCTTCCTGCTTCTACTCCCCCTCACTGCCCCCCCAACTCTGTCAATCTGACCACATGACCCACATGCTTAAAACCATTTAGGGGACCCTCATTGCCTATGGCAATCATTCTCAGACCTGATGATCATTACAAATATCAGAGAGATTTTTTAAAATGTACAATTTTCAGCTCTACTCCCTGAAGAATCAGGATGAACAGATATGAAATAGGGCCCCATGCTCTGTATTTATAAGAATCTCTCCAGGAAATCAAGATGATTGGCAAGGTTCAGGAACTCCTGGACCAAGTCCACATGCCCCTGCCTGTCTTCTCAGTGCTGTCTCCTCTGGCCCTCCAGCACCCAACACCCCAGAGAACTCCCCAGCTGCATCAGATGATTCCAGCTCTCTGTGCCTCTGGACTTGCCCTCTGCCTCATCCACCTGGTACATTTTTATTTGTCTCTCAACACCCATTGGGAGGAAGCCCTCCCCATGAAGTCTCCACCGTCTGAGCTCATCACTCCCCCTTTGTATCACCACTGTAGCTCGCACAGACCACCAGACTGCTTATCCCACTATTGCAATCATTTGTCCAAATGCCTATCTTCCCTCCTAGACTGGGAGGGCGTCATCAAGGTTTCATGAACTTGGTGACCTCCAGAGCCCAGCACAGGACTTGGTACACAGCAGATGCTCAATAAATATAATGACTGCTGCCCATTAAGCCGAGTGCTTGTAGATTTGCTAGAAATAGCCAAGAAAGAATATACAAATGTTCATGTTAATCAGGAGTTGGAACAGTGGTAGAGTTTTTGTTGTATTATTTTCCTAATGGAACTGTAGAATGATGTATAACAAGGTATATACACGACTCACACTAACTATACTGGAGCTTCCTCTCTTGAATCACAGATATGTGCAACCAGCATAATACAACACATGTTTGTGGAGATTCCCCTAGGACTGTGAACAGCAGAAGCTGTCTAGGAAGATGGACACATATTTTCTTTCAACTTAGAAGACAGAATAAGTGCTGGGACTTCTCCAGAAAAAAAAAAAAAAGAAAGAAAAATCAAGCCAGCTTGAGCCAGAGGAACCTTGTGCAAATACTGCACAGGGAGACCATGGCTAATAACCATGCTAGGGAAGAGGGCTGTCAGCACACAGGCCTCCCAGGGAGACACTGTTCGTTCCCACAGGCCCTGCCAACCTCCCTTTCCTTACTCTTCCCACGTACAATTCACCTTGCAATGCTCTCCCACCCAAGCATACCCTCCCTTTTTCTGGCCCAAGGAGGAATAGCTGTGAGTTTCCCATACTAGAAGACTCTCCACCATAGAAACCTGAATCTTGGTGACAGTACGTGAGAAATGCTCAAAGAGAACAAGACTGAGAGATAAAGAGAAGGCTCATCAATAAGCATCAATCACATTTAACTCTGAGTATTCACACTGGGCCAATTCCAGGCAGAAGCTCTGTCTGGTTGGCACTGGGCCTAGGCCCAAGGAGAAGTTAGAATCTCTGAGCTAAATGGCTTTGCATCTGACCCAGTCATAAGACTCTGCCAACCCATGAATGGAGGCTCTGCGCCAAGCTCTCAGGGACAACAGGGTCCTGCCTTCTGTGAAATGAATGCAAGGGGGACTGAGTGAGGAGGAAGTTTTTTACTCTGAGACTCAGCTCTTGTAGGCTGGTTTGCTGCAGATGAAACCAGAAATAAGAGTGGACTGGGGTGGGCCAGATCCAGCATCAGTTTTTACCCAATCACAAGCCCTTGAAGAAGGCACAGTCATTCTGAGACTGCATCAGGGCTATTGCAGAACAGATACAAATCCTTCCAACAGACTGGATTGCTTTGAGATTCCCAGAGAGCCTCGGTGGCATGCCCAAGCTCATCAGATAGGGCCCAAGACCAGGGTCAATTCTCTTATCTGTGATGCCTGATCTTACTGTCCTACTATATAAAACAGCAACTGCCTCACCCAGGTCTTCCTGTCCCACTTATCCTGTCCATTTTTCTCATAATTTCACAGATCGTATATTCTTGTGTTCTGTCTTGCTCCACACAGGATGTAAGCTCCATGAGGCAGGGACTGTGTCCAATGCACTCTCTGCTGCACCACCCCCCACCCCAATGCCTAGCACAGTGCCTGGCCCCAGGTAGGACCCCAACAGCTTGTAGGAAGAGAAACCGGCCATGGGAAGAGCACTCCATGCCTGAGACACAGTGGCCAATCACCTGGATGCTGAGGCTCTGGGACTCCAGGTAGGGTAAGGTAATTTTCCTGTAGTCATCTCCCGTCTCTCGGATCAGGTGCAGGTCCTGGCGCAGGTACTTCTGCAGGTGTTTCTCTGTGGCGGGGTAAACCACGGTCGTCTTGACATCTGCAACAACACAGCACAGGCCATGACTGGGAAGCAAAACCCACTGTCTGTGCAGTCAGTCCCACTCTCGTGCCCACAGGCACCATGGTGAAGAGATGACTCCCATCCCAGCTTTGATTCCCTCACAAGGGGAGCCAAAGGCCAAGGGGTTCTATGCACCTTGATCCACTCCCACAAGGCACCTTGAGCCATTAAACTCATGAGCTGAGCCACACTCAGAACTTGGGAAATAAGGTTTTCACCAGTAGGTCACTGGGTCCCTCATCGTGCTAGCCCTGGCCCTTCCCCTCCATCTTCCAGACACAGGAATGGAAGGTCTCTAACTCTCCCGTACTGCCAGATCTCTAGGTTTGTGGCTTTCTGGACTCAAAGTGAAAATGTGATTTAAAGCCAAGTAGCCCCTTAAGGAGGGGCAGTGCAGCATAACACAGTGGTTCAAGGCATGGACTATGCAGCCAGGCTATCTAAGTTCAAGTCCTGGCTCTGCCTGCTCCTCACTCACTCCAAGTAGGACCTTGGCCCTGGCTGGGAGCTTGGTCCAGTTATTTAACCTCTCTGTGCCCTAACTTCTCCATCTGCCAAAAGACGATAGTAATAGCTCCTGTGTCATAAGGCAGGGAGAATTAAGCAAGTTAATTACCTGTGAAGCACATAGAACAATATCTGGCAGATAATCAACACTACATAAGTGCTGGCTATTTTTAATCCAGTGTTTCTCAACCTTGGCACCATTGACATTTTGGTTTGGATAATTCTATGTTGTGGGACTGTTCTGTGCATCGCAGTATGTTTAGCAGCATCTCTGGCCTCTACTTGGATGCCAGTAGCACCCTCCTCTCAGTTGTGACAACCAAAAATGTCTCCAGACATTACCAAATGTCCCCTCGGGGGCAAAATTGTCCCCAGTTGAGAACCATGGTTTTAATCAGAAGTAAACCTTGTAGTTTTCGTAAACAGACTCTAGGCTAGTGTCCTGGTCCAACACCACCTGGTTTTGGTTAAGTCCTTTACCCTATTTTTTTTTTTTTTTCTTTTTCTGACCGGTAAGGGGATCGCAACCCTTGGCTTGGTGTCGTCCACACCATGCTCAGCCAGTGAGCGCACCGGCCATCCCTATATAGGATCCGAACCCACGGCCTCGGCACTACCAGCGCCGCACTCTCCCGAGTGAGCCACGGGGCCGGCCCTCCTTTACCCTATTTTTAATAACATCTGGTACAAACGTTGTCATTACTCTAACATTTGTATATAGTGTTTCAGCACAGATCTTAAGGGCAGGAAAGGAAAATGGTGTTTGAAAATCAGTTAAGATGTTTCTCAAAAGACTTATCTCCCCCCTCTGCCTCCCTAAACTAAGATTCAGATATGCTCTCCCAAGGAAACCCCAGAAAGAGGAGAAACCCATCAGGTACATTTTAACACCCCAGGAAATTCTCATACTCACAAACATACCTCAAGACCCAGCTAAGAACCACCAACCTATCCTTTCATAATTGGTCTGAGGATACAGGTGGCTTTAATTCCACTTTCACAAGTACGTGAATGGGTGACAGGGATTTAAAGACTTGCCCAGCATCAAGCTGTGAGATGTGGCAAAGGCTAGATTAACAGAGGCCTTCTACCCTAAAATCAATGCTCTTTCAACACAGCGGCCTGCCTAATGGCCCACTTTCTTCTTCCAAAGCCCAGTGGGGTGTACAAGGATGACCTACCAAGCACATGACTACTGGTGAGCTTCCAACGTCCCAGTCCATCAGCTCTGGAAGCAAAGCAGCATGGTGGGAAGACACAGACACTGGACCCACTTTGGGCATATGACTCTCCTTACTGGGACCCTGAGCATGTGACTTACCTCTTAGTGTCTCAGTTTCATCACCTGTTAGAGGGTGGTCATAAAATCTGCCTCACAGAGTTGTTGTTAACATTAAACAAAATATGTCATCTACATCACTAGAGGCACTAAATAAATGTCACCCAATTCCTGAGGATCCCTGGATGTGACCCAGAAAGGGAGGCACAAAGGCCTCTTCACAACCCTGCAGGCAGCAGCAACAAAGTTTCTCGCTTCTCACTCCTCCTCACTATCTAATAGCCAGGGTCATACGTCAGAGATCAGAGGTCAAGCACATCAAGATCTCAAGAGGCAGAAAACTGCCTGAAATAGATCAAATGGCTCCACCCTGACCCTTGCAGTGGACGAGAGGAAAATCCCATATCTGTAGCGTAGCTTGGCGAATGAGAGCAGAGATTTTAGAGCCAATCAGCCTGGGTACAAATCCTGGCTCTGCACTGATTAGCTGTGTATCCTTGGGTAAGTGACCAACCCTCTCTGTTGCTTCAGCCTTAATAATAACAGCACCTACCTTAAAGGGTTGCTGTGAGAATTAAATGAGTTAGCAGATGGAAAACATTTAGAAAGTGGTCCCCATAAGGAAAAGCACTCCACAAATGCTTGCTTTTATTCTCCTTGCCTGAGTTAGGCAGTGAGGAGAAAAGCTGTAGCAGTGGAACTCCCTCAGAGTGGGAGAGAGACTGGCTAGGAACAGGGGCAAGGCTGATGTTAGAGAACAGACTAACTCTGCTGGCAATGAACACACAGCCCTGGGCTCAAAGCCTGGGGCTCTCTGGCTGGTCCAGATCAGCAAGTCACTGGGCCCGCAGCATGCCTGTCTCTGCCAAGGGTTGTCAAAGACCTGCCCCCACCACCCAGGGTGCAGGGAAAACAGGCAACTCATCAAGCCAGCCCCCTCCTGCCTCCCACCCTTGGCAGCAAGGAGAAAATCCAAAGGCATTTATTTTCCAACTGCTCACTTCCTGCTGTCCTTCCTTTCCTGAGAATCTCCTGCCTGGATATAGGAAACCCACTGCGATACTCTCAGACCCCGCAACCCCCCCAACCCAAGCGAGTCACTCCTCAGGGGCCCATTTTCCCTCAGACCACCACCTGAAGCCCTGGCCAGGGCTTCCCACCATGCTCTACAAGGCCCCTGGCCACCTTGCCCCAGCCTTCTCTCCAACTTCACTTACTACCACTCTCCCCCTTGCTGCCTCTGCACCAGCGACACTAACTTCTTGCTGTCCCACTAAGGTAGGCACACGCCCCTCTTTGGGCCTTGCTTGCACTAGCGGTGCCCACTGCAGGCAGGCCCTCCTGCTGGAGGATCCACACTATTCCCTTTCTTCATTCAGGCCTCTGCTGTAAGGGCAGCTCCTCAGGCTCAGCAGCCCCTGCTAGAACAGCCCCACTAACCTCATGACCCTCTATCTCCTTCAGTGGCTCGTGTTTTCTTCACTTCTCACCACTTAATAATAGAATACACATTTATCATCTAATTCCCCCATTAGAATGTAACTTCTAGGAATAGAGGGATTTGGTCTTTTTTTGTTTTTTTAACCATTTAGCCCCAGCACCTGGAATAGCACCTAGCTTACAGTAAGCAATCAACAAATACTCACTGAACAAATGACTTTAAACTCAAGAGGATTTTTGTCCCAAATGGAATAAAACCTCTTTAATAAAAACCAATATATTTCCTAAAGCTAAGTTTCTCATTGACAGCCAAAAAACCAAACTCTGTTTCTTACCTAAAAGCCAATCAAGATATTGAACTGCAGCTGAACTTCAGGAGTAGTTTGATCAAGAGTCAATGCTCGATAAACACTCAAAACATTGGGTAAAAATATGCTGCAAAACAGGATATACATGCACAGTCTCATAAGTATCACAGATTACTTATTAATTACAAAGGGAAAATAAGTAGTTTTACAGCAGCAAAAGGCTACCACCTCCACCAAGTGATGGGCGTTAACATCATTCCTAATGGGACAACCTGACATCATGTGCCTCTTGACGGGATGTGGTCTTCCGGCCAAAAATGCATAACCTAAATCTCATCACAAGAAAATATCAGCAAACCAAAATCCAGGAGCATTCTATAAAACAGGTGGCTTTGTAACTCTTCAATAGTGTCAAAGTTAGGAAAAGACAAAAGAAAGGCTGAGGAATTGAACCAGATTAAAGGAGACTAAAGAGGGCTGGCCAGTTAGCTAAATTGGTTAAAGCTCGGTGTTACGGGCCGGCCCGGTGGTGCACTGGAGGGTGCACTGCTTGGGAGCGCGGCAGCGGTCCCCCGCCGAGGGTTCGGATCCCATGTGGAGACCGGTTCCCGCTCACTGGCTGAGCATGGTGCGAGCGCAGCACCGAGGGTTGCGATCCCGTTGCCGGTCCCCGGTACAGGCGCGACACCAAGGGTTGCGATCCCGTTACCGGTCAGTAAAAAAGAAAAAAAAGTGTTACAACACCAAGGTCAAGGGTGCAGATCCCCATACCAGAAGGGGCTGGATTAGATCCCAGACGGGCGGGACAGGAGTCCTCCTTTAAACACAGCATTGAAGCAACTAGCGTAATTTAATAATGGACACTGCAGTACATAATAGTTTTGCATAAATGTAAAATTTCCTGAAATTGACAATTTCACAAAGTTGATCATTTCACCCTTTTTATATCCATGTTCATAATAATAATTATTATTATATGTATATGTGGAGAGTAAAAAAGCAAATGTGGGAAAATGTTAAAAATAGGTGAAGGGCTTTTATAAGGGAGTACTTTGTACTATTCTTACAACTTTTTTTGTAGGACTGAAATTTTTTCAAAATATAAAGTTAAAAAAGGTGTCACAAGGGCCAGCCCGGTGGCTCACTAATAAAAAAATAAAGAAAAGGAAAAAGAAAAAAAGGTGCCTTTGAACCTTAGCTCAAATTGCAAACAGATGTACTAGGCACTAAGCCTGACACACACATTAACTCGTTTGTTCCTCATGACCAACATGTGTGGGTACTATTATGATCCCATTTTATTTATTTTTTAAAAGATGACTGGTAAGGGGATCTTAACCCTTGACTTGGTGTTGTCAGCACCACGCTCACCCAGTGAGCTAAGCAGCCCTCCCTATACGGGATCCAAACCCGTGGCCTTGGTGTTATCAGCACCACACTCTCCCAAGTGAGCCACGGGCCGGCCCCATGATCCCATTTTATATGCAAGGAAACTGAGGCACAGAGCCCAGGGTGATCCCTTAAGTTGCACAGCACTGCAGATTGAAGCACTGTCTGGCTCAGGGTTGGGTTCCATCCACAGCACCACAGTGACAGCCACGTCTTTGTGCACAGTACGTCAGCAGATGAGGCCTAATGATCTAGCTGGGCTCTCTCTCTGCCAAGTGCCATCTAGTAAGTTGACTTGAGGGAGATATCTGCTCAGGA